TCGCCAAGTTACAAAAAATAAGATGGAAAAATTTACCAGTCGGATGGTTTTTTTTTCTTCACGACGATATGGTTTTCAATTATAAACTTTTTAACTAAGATAAAATTGTTATTGTTGTGTTGTTGTTGTTGTTAATGTTTTTTTCATTTCGTTTGTTGGTTATTTTTCAATTTATAAAAATTTTTTCTCTGGTTTATTTTAAAATTTTTATAAAAAATAATAAAATAATTTATAATGCAAAAACAATTTTGCCAAAACAAATGAACGTTTATCAGTGTATTTATCTATCCATCTATCAATTAATTAATTAACTTGTAAATAAATTCATTAATTCATTCATTTATTCATTTAAATGTTTTTACATTATTTTATTCATTCGTTCGTTTGTTCGTTCATTCATTCATTCATCCTTCCGTCCGTCCATCCATCCATCCATCCATCCATCCATCCATCCATCCGTCCATCCGTCCGTCCGTCCGTCCATCCGTCCGTCCGTCCGTCCGTCCGTCCGTCCGTCCGTCCGTCCATCCATCCATCCATCCGTCCGTCCGTCCGTCCGTCTGTCCGTCCGTCCGTCCATCCATCCATCCATCCATCCATTCATCCATCCATTCATTCATCCATCCATCCATTCATTCATTCATGGATCCATTTTTATTACAAATAAAAAATTGTCAAATATATAAATCACTATTGTTTCAATTAGTGAATAAAAAGTATTAGAAGTACTAAATTTCACATTATCGGTATTGAATATTTAAAAAATTTGGGCTGTGTGTTTATGTGTAAATCAGTGTGTGTGCGTGTGCGTGTGTGTGTGCGTGATGCGATTTTTTATCGTACGTTATGTTCTTATGTTGTGAATAATATATGTATGCGTGCGTGTGCGTGTGTGTGTGTAAACGTGTGTGTGTGTAAACGTGTGTGTGTGTGTGTAAGTGCGTGTGTACGCGTGTTAACAAGATGAACGACAGTCTACAAACTTTTACAACAGCAACAACAAGAGTCACGTGACGCAATAAACAAATGTAAAAGCACGCACGTGCGGTACCGAATAGCATTGCTCTCTCCCTCTCTCTCTCTCTCTCTCTCTCTCTCTCTCTCTCTCTCTCTCTCTCCTAATTGGACAGAGACTTGGCAGTAGATAGATAGATAAATAAATAAATAAACAAATAATAATCATTTAATATTTCACAGGCAGATGAATAATTCATTTTAAAAACGTATTTAAAAGTGAACTTTAATGAAAATGATAATAATAATAATGATGATAATAATAATGATAAAAATAATAATAATAATAATGATAAAAATAATAATAATAACAATAATAATAATAGTGATAGTGACAATGATGATGATGATGCGGAAAGAGTTAATGTCATTTAAGTTTACTACAATTTAACGTTTGAATTCGTTGGGCTGATGTCTTTGTGTTAATTTGTTTAATGTTTCGGCTGTTGTTGTTTATTATTATTATTGTTATTATTATGTTGTTGTTGTTGGTGGTGATGTTGTTGTTGTTGAATATGAAAATTCATCATCTGTCTATAAATAGCCATTGCTATTTTCGGCTGGAAAACCCAACTGGCGGGAATTCCGCGGTGCATCCAAGGGTGTATATCCATGTTGCTTGTTGGCGGGCTCATATTAAAATTTTCGTTGTTTGTTGTCGTTGTGTTGCTGTTGTTTGTGTCAGTGCTGGTTTTGTTATTGTTGATGCTGTTGTTGTCGTCGTCATCGTCGTCGTCGTTGTTGTTATTTATATTTTTTGGTTTGTGTGTTTTCGCGCCATCATCGTCACTGACGTCATCGTTATCGTTTGAATCTGATTTCGTAGTCGTCGCCAAGTCAACCAGCGACCATATCCTGAATTTATTTTTATCTTTCTTCGCTTCCGGCAAACTACTTCCGTTTTCGCTCTCTGACGTCATGGTTGGTTTTTCCGTCGATAATGTTGTCGTAAGCGGTTTCAGTTTATCGTCCGTTTGTATGTTGTTGTGTTGATGTTGTTGTTGTTGTTGGTGGTGGTGATGTTGTTGCTGTTGTTGGTGGTGGTGACGTTGTTGCTGTAAATAATCCGGAAACATGTTTTCAATTGACGTCTTGTTGATTTTGTTGTTTGTCGAGTCAGCTGACGATGCCATTGACGAATCATCTGTTGTATGTTTTGTATAATTTGTTGCTTGTTTGTATGTATGTTTGTTTGTTTGTATGTTTGTTTCTGTATGATTATTTGTTTATTTGTATGTATTTTTTATTATAAAACAATCGTGTGACAGCATAATTTGTTTGTTGTTCGTAAGCTTGTTAGCAACACACCGTAAAATATATTCACCCAACTGACCAGCATCAACATTAATCTCCTCTTCCTCTTCTTCCTCCTCATCATCCTCTTCATCTTCATCATCGTTGTCATCATCAGCAGCTTCAGCTTCCGAGCGTTTTTTCACTTTGTCATCCTCGTCGTCGTCGTCGTTATCATCGGCGCTCATCAGGCTGTTCTTGTCGTCGTCGTCGTCGTTGTCGTCGTCGTTCCTCTGTCGCGGCGACCACTGCATTTTGTTCTCCTTCTTCAAACGCCTCCTGGCGTTTGCGAACCACGTGGATACCTGGTGGTGAACGAGTGAATTGATGAGTGAACGAGTGAATTAATGAGTGAATACATGAGTGAATGAGTGAATACATGAGTGAATAAGCGCATTTATGAGTGAATAAATGAGTGAATGAGGAAATAAATAAGTGAAAGATTGAGTAAATGAGTGAATAAATGAGTGAATGAGTAAACAAATGAGTGAATGAAATGATCAAATAATTAGATAAATTAATGATTGTATGATAGATCAATAAATATATGAGTAGAAAACAACTTCGAATGAACAAACTAGCAAATTAAAAAGAATTTTAACAAACATCCAAAGGGAACAAACAAGCAAACAAACAAACGAACGAACAAACGATCGAACAAGCGAACAAACGAACAAACGAACAGATAAACAAACATTAGATGGACAAAAAACCATGAGACCCATTAAAAAGATGCATCAATTGATGACCGACCTGTGTTAAGGTCATCTTCGTGATGATGGCCAGCATGATCTTCTCCCCTTTTGTTGGGTAGGGGTTCTTGATGTGCTTGTACAGCCAGGCCTTCAGGGTCGTCGTTGATTCGCGGGTGGCATTTTTTCTTCTGACGTCATAACTACGTCATTGTGTTGTTACAATTGTTGTTGATGTTGTTGGCGTGGTTAATGTTGTTGATGTTGTTAATGTTGTTGATGTTGTGGATGTTGTTGATGTTGTTGATGTTAACAATAATGAAACGAAATAGGCACATCATATTTATATGCTTCACGCACCGTAAACACACGCACGCACGCACGCACACACGCACGCACACAAAGACTCACACACAAACACACACACAACCACACATACACTCACACTTACATATTAACTCACTCACATAATGACAAACAGACGAAGCCGATAAACTAATGCAAAACACCACACAACTAACTTAATAGCTGGATATGGATAAGCTGGATGTGAATTGAGGGGCGGGGGCCTGCAGTCGAACCCAGGCCATAGAGGATTGCCTGGCTGATTGACGAATGTCAAATTCGTTCCATTTTGCCAGAGTTCTATGTTCTCCAAAGGCTATCATTTTGAGAATAATTAATCAGGAAAAATAACATCTTACTTGAAAAATGTAGTCAGTGTTTAAAATACACTTCGTTTAGAATTGCGATTGAGACTTCGAGCTCTTAAATCTTCATGTGTGGATATTTATTTTCAGTTTTTTTTGTGAAAATTGAAAAAATATCATAAAATATTATTTAACATCTTTTATTTTGTAACTAATTTTTACCGGGCAAAGACGAAAACCGTAAATAAAATCGAACCAATTTTGAACAATTCCCTCAATAATTTAGTTACAAAAAATACATTTTCGTACGTGTTGGGTAGTGGTGGTGGTGGTGGTCTTGTTAGTGATATCCATGCTCCAGTGAGGTGGCATGAAGGACTTGTGGTGGAAGTGTGGGTGGGTGAAGAGCTGAGGAAACGACTGAGGCAATTTTATCGAGAAATTGTGACGTTGGTGATCGTTATGGTGATTTGATGATGGCGATGATGAAGAAGATGTCGAAGAAAGTTGTCTCGTTGTCGTCCCTGTTGCTGCTGATGATGATGAAGATGTAGTAAGAGTGGTGGCTGCAGGTGTGGATGTAGTTGGATGTGGTGGTGGTGGTGGTGGTAGTATGGTTAAAAGTGACTGACCAAAGAACATCGGACGAGTTTTCATCTGGGCGCTGTTGTATAAATACTGTTTGTATAACTGTTGTTGTTGATGTTGGAGGTGTTGTTGTTGATGGTGAAAATGTTGTTGTTGGTGATGGTGGTGCTGGTTGAGATGGTGGAGCTGGTAGGCCGGTTGAAAATGGGTTTTGTTGTGGTGTGGGAAAAAAATTGAGCTTGAAATTTTGTTGTTGTAGGTAGAGTTGTTGTTGTTGTTGTTGTTGTTGCTGCTGTTGTTTATGTTGCTGTTATTAATGTTATTATTATTGCAACCCAGATTGTTCCTGTTTTCATTGCATTCATCTTTGTTGTTGTTGTTGTTGTTGTTGTTGTTGTTGTTGTTGTTCAGGTTGTTAATCAATTTGTTGGG